CACAAACTGGTTCTTCTCTCTTCCCCACCAACCCATAAGTCCAAACAACATGAGTCCAACAATGGGAGTCCAAACAATGAGAGTCCAAATACCCCCCCAAGGTTTGTTTGTTTGTTTTAATGGAGTGGGCCATGGCAGCTAATCCCAACCCAAAATGAACCCAGGAATTTTAGGCATTGTGTTGGTTCAGGGATATCTGAATGCATGCTGCTAGTACAGCAGTATTCACCTGATAATTTCATACTTCACCTAATTTTCCCATTGTATAATTTTCTTTCTTTGATTCATTTCTTACTTGTAGGGATCCCATTGGCTGAATCCACAGTTCATCTTGATGCTTCCAAAGTGAGAACGTAATGATTCTAACAATGGATCTTGTATCTAACAATGGATTCTAATAATGTATTTTGTATCCAGCCCAGCATTCTGTGCATTGACAGCATCCTGGTAGATGTTCCAGGGAGGCCTGCAAGTGGGACATAATGGTCAAAAACATTCTCTGTTTCAGAATTATGCATATTTTGGAGGTTTTATTTCATAAAGAGAGTACTTGGCTGTTTGTTACTTTAGGATATCACTTTCATGTATATGTCTTCTAATAGTATAAGGGATCATTCAAAAGGTATCATGCCGAATATATCTAATTATGCATATATTAGTGGCAGCCAGAATTTTATTTGTGAAGTACTGGAAAAATGAAAATATACCTATGAAAGATGAACTTATATATAAAGTAATGGAAGTTGCTGAAATGGAAAAATTCACATTCACTATACAAGGTAAAAGTGAAAAAGAATATGGCAAATATTGGACTAAAATGTATATATGGCTACAGAAACGTTAAGAATGTTAGTAAAGTGAAAGAGTGAAGAGTCAAGTAAACTCTGGAAGATTCTCTGTTAATTCGAAATACAAAATGTATATGGAATTTTTTGTTTATGAAAAATGAAAAAAGGGATCATTCTTTACTTACTTTTTAAATAGAAAGAGTATATATAATCTCCCAAAAAAACCTTCACTCATTGTATCAACCTGTGTCACATCCAAATCAATCTTTCTTATATATGAAATGTCACAATTCTTTTAAAAATCTTCATATTATATGGAAAAATTTGCCATAATTTCAAGTTTGAATTCATAATGGCTAATTTCATTGATGTCCATGGTTTGATGATACTATGTGAAATTTACTACGTAAAATGCATAAGTATTTTTTTTATTTACTTTGTTTTGTTTTTAGTCCACCTTTCTCACTTGGACTCAAGGCAGATTGCATAGAGTGAGTCAGTACAATTGATGGATGGGACATTCAACAAGCAATCCAAGAAGATTAGGGTTGTAGAACCAGCCAGAAGTCTAGGAACTGAACTGAAGGAAGTGTATTATGATCACAGTGGAAACAGTGCTGAAAGATTTAGACAGCTCCATCCTATGCATGATCCAACACCAGAAATTATGCTCAAAGTTCCCTATCAGTAATTTGTGGCATAGGTAGAAACATATGTGTATGCAAGTCCTCTCGATTAGGGTAACCAAGAGCAATGGGATATAGCTTAAAGCAATTAATCATGTAGAATGTATGTAGCAAGCAGAGATGAGAAATCTTTGTGACAGAATTCTTCAAGACCATCAATCTGAAATGAAGCAGTAACTACTGAAATAGTTTGAGATGTGACTGTTTAGATACACCACTGTGAGCAACTTGCAGGTTGATGAAACACCGTTTGGGTATACCATTCCCTTTGAAATGAATGAGACTTGGGCCATTCAATGACATGTGCATTGTTTCATAGCAATCTCTGCTAATCTCTGCCATACTGTTTTATGGCTGTGTCTCAAAAGTCTTTTGTAGTCTTTTTTGTATACATGTGCTGCACAGAATAAACTTTAAGAAGAATGTTCACCTGACACTGAGTTCTTAATTTCATGACTGCATCATGGATTTCTTTAGAATAATATTTTGTCACTCAGTTCCATTCCCATTGATTGAGGAGGAGTCTATTTCTAAATAAAACAGGTGGTATGGTTTAGGAAATTCACCCCTTTCTTACTCCACCTCCGCACCGTTTTGCTGTGTTCCAATACAGGAAGTACAGTTTCACCAGGCCAGGCTCTGACACAAGAAGAAAATTGTGCTGGGAGGGAATGTGTCTGAAGAAACAAAGCACTGAGAAGTAAGGCATGAGAGCGGCCAGTATTTGTCCATTTATGTTAAATATATATAAAGGATCCCTCTGCCCCGCATCTCAGGATTCAAGGAAAGGAGGGAACTGTTCGTTAACTTGCACCTCTTTGAGTCCACTCTGTAAGTGTGAATAACAGCCTTGAGAACGTGAATGCTCTTTCCGATCTCCATCAACTTTAAGAGGAAAAATCCTAACTGTGATGGGTAGGGGGATTACAAGTGTTTACATGTATCCACAAGTGCAACACCTGAGGAAGTTTTAAGGTTAGCCAAATGTATCTCAATAAGCACTGCAACATTTTCAGCTGCCATCCCATAAAGCTTCTCCCCTCCCCCCAAGAAAATTAAATCACTACAGTTTTTGAACCCATTGTTCCAAAACATTCAATGGACCAGTGGTGCTGCTTTATGTGAGGAAGTTTTGAGGAGAGTAACCTCCATATGCATGTACTTAATACCTATAGATCTTGCTCAAGTGCTTTGAAGCAAATTACTCCATGTGGACTTTACCCTATGGGAATGCAGGGGGGAAAACAAACTGATGCACTCTTGTCAGTACAGCACTGATTCCATGAAAATGGTTCATGAATAGCCCTCTTCTAGTGATCCACACTTGTAGTTTCTTTATAAGAACAGCGACTGAAGAACAAGGAGACTTTAGATGAACAAGGGGAACTTAGAAAGCCACTGTATTTGTAGCTTTTACTCACACCTTCTATGTTCTTTTCCCTTTAGTAAAGTTAAAGCTTTGAGACTAGAAGAAGAATCTGGGATTATTATTTTTTTTTAAAATCCTATTGATGATGATAACCTTCCAGCTTTGAGTTTACATCTAGATATATTTAAACCACCACTTTTAGCATAATTTAAAGAACCTCATTAGCACTTCAAATTTTGTCTCCCAATCTTACTTTGATTTGCCCCCCCCTTTTCTTTGATACATTACAGTGAAAGGAAATGAATTCCTTAATGGCTTGATTAAAAGAATTACAAATCGTCCTTCATATTTTTTTCATAGCACAATGGTTTTCAATACTTTAAGGACAGGAAACACACACAAACACATACAAACACAAACAAGGTAAGCCATTTGTTTCTTTGTTTTCATTGGCATGGCAGTTTTTCTTGCATTGTCAAAAGATTACTAATAAATGCTTTGAAATTAATCTAGTAAATTATTTCACATGTTTATTGTACTTCTATTTCCATAGCTTGAACTGAATCATGGCCATGATAAATATCTTTCAATTATTTATTATACTACCACAGTTTGATGTAAACATTCCATTTATATGTCTATGTGCATCTCTAGATTTATGCAGTTCTCAGTGCCCTTTAGTCAATGATGGGGGGGGAGGTTGGACATCCATAGGGATAGATCCAGCCATGACCATAAAGCAGCTAAATTATCAGAGTGTGGTTCACCGTTATGAAGAATATGCAGAAGTATAATATCTTTTATGTGTAAGTAATGTTGAAGTGAATTCCTCTTGAGCTCTACCTTTGTGTTTGAATAAACCTTGCATGTTGGATTTGTAGCTTCCCTTATTTTTTGCCAAATGTTTCCGCTGAATCTCTAAGTAGGTAATATTTCTCATAGGAGTACTGGATGCTATACCATGCTGATGGTGCATTTGGCTTGACTTTCCATCTTTACATCATGCCCGATCAGATGCTACGGGAGCATTTGTAAGCCTCTTTCCTTCTCTGTTATAATCAAGTGGGCGTTGGTTCATTTAAGTCATTTCTCCAATGTCAGAGGCATTAACTGGAAGGTGATAGATACAACCTGTCTGAAAATTGCATCAGTGATCAAAAGTGCTGTCAAGTTGCAGCTGACTTACAGCGATCCTGGTAGTAGTAGAAAAGCGTTCCTACCAGAATTGCCAAGATCTGAAGATACATCTGAAGGCTCATGCCCTGTCATACATTCTGTTAGTCTTTACAGTGCTGCTGGATTCTTACTCTTTTCTACTGCTACAGACAGACTAACACAGCTACCCGTCTGGGCAATCCTGGTGGACACTCAAGGCAGGAGATGAACAGAAGTGGTTTGTCATTGCCTGCCCCTGCGTAGCAACCCTAGAATACCTTGGTAGTCCTCCCTCTAAGTACTAACCAAGGCCAACACTGCTTAGCTCCCAAGATCTGATGAGATTGGGCTAGCTTGAGCTATCCAGATCAGGATGAATATTGCATTAGATCCAGTCATTCCTAGTGACAGGGGCAGACCTATTGACTCTCATTGTGAGCAAGAGTTCTAATCCTGAGAGAGCTCTATAGAGCTCTCCTACACAAATTAGTCCCCCCCTCTTTTTTCTGTACAAAGGATTGTTTCTTGCTTTATGTGTTTTGCAGTGCAGTCTAACCTGAATTTAATCTTTCTAAGCCTATTAACTTCAAAGGATTTTGAAGGATAACACTGTTGTTGGGTTGCATGGGAGGATTTAGGGAAGGATTTAGGGGAGGGTTATTTTGTAACAATTGTTAAGAAAAACACACAAAACATAATATAATATGTTAAAAATAAGGACTTGTTCCATGATAAAAGTTTTTTTTTCTCCATAGAAGGAAAGCTCTACTCTTCACAGAAAGGAGTAATGTGATCCAACCCATTATATTCAGTGCTACTTGGTGTTTCCCCCCCCCTCATGTTAAATTTGTTTTGGAGATATGACACCTGTTCAGTTGATAGAAATAGAATTAGTATTTAATCATTGTTAATGTTTGCAACCATTTTATATTGGCTTTTCAACCTGTAACATGTTCATGATGGAAATTTTGTTCCTTTCCTTTTTGACCAGGTAAAATCCTCATGGCAGAACTAGGAGGACTGAATGATACTGAAGTAACTGAATTTGTCCTCATTGGTTTCTCTGGGAAACCCAAGACCAGGATGGGTTTAATCGGCTTTATGGCAATTGTCTATTTGGTGACTGTAATAGGAAATGGAGTCATTGTGTTGGTGGTCATAATTGAGACCCAGCTCCACAACCCAATGTACTTTTTCCTTTGCAACCTATCCATACTTGATATCTGTTTTTCTACATCTTCAGTCCCACAAGCTATCATCAATGCTTTGGTGGATAGGCCTGTCATGTCCTTTTCCATGTGTTACACTCAAATGTATGTTGGTGTCTATTTTGGGACAACTGAATGTTTCCTGCTAGCTGTCATGGCTTATGATAGATATGTTGCTATCTCCAATCCCCTGCGTTATATGATCATCATGAACTGGAATGTTTGCATTATACTGGCTGTTTTCGCATGGGCAGTTGCCTTCACATTATCCATTCTTCCTGGCATTGCTAATCCAGTACGCTTCTGTGGTCACAATGAGGTGGATAATTTAACATGTGAGGTCACTGCTCTCATGAGATTGGTTTGCTCAGATACCTCTGTGAATCAACTGGTTATGTATTTTACCAGTAGTTTTAGCCTAGTTTTCCCTTTCTGTTTTATCCTCTTTTCCTACATGCGTATTATAGTGGCCATTCTGAGAATCCATTCATCCAGTAGTAGAATGAAAGCCTTCTCAACCTGTGGGTCTCACTTGGCTGTAGTCTGCCTCTATTATGGAACTTGCATATTCTCATACTTAAAACCTCAGCCTAAGGTTAGGCATGAGAGAGACAAAATTATCTCTGCGTTTTATGGAATAGTAACACCCATGTTGAATCCTTTAATCTATACACTGCGAAATCAGGATGTGATAGGAGCACTTAAAAGACTTGGGGATAAGAAAGTTTGATCCTCTATGTTAATTGTAATTTATAGACACTGGAAACTACTTTAAATTTGGAATTACATTTCTATCATTTTACCTTTATTGTAGTTTAAATGCTGTTCATTATTTGGCCAATAAAATAACCTTTGTCTAAATGTAGAGTATGAATACTCCACAAATATGAAGATATTGATCTCGGGGGGTGGGGGTTAAAGAGGTGCTTACTTTCTGTACACTTGTAACCCATTACTCTGTGGGTGCATCAGTTCACATATATGGACTCACCTGTAGATGTAGTTATAGTATTTAACCAATAGGAAAAAACCCACCCTAAACTTGCATACCTTTCCTAATCTCTGTGTTGTTCTCCATCTCATAGAATATGTTCTCCAGATACAATAAAATCAAGTGTCCCCCCCCCC